TAAAATAAAACATGTTATTAATTAAAAAATAATTAGAATGTATATATAAATAATTTATAAAATAGTTAATAAATGTTGTAGTGGGGACCACTTTTAAAAGTGTAGGTGAATTGCAGGTGTGTAGGTGGTACTTGCAAAAGCTGACATGGCACGGTTGAAAGTGTTGTAGGTAAATTGCAGGTGTGTGAAAGATAATTGCAAAAGCTGATGTAACACAATTGAAAGTATAAATGAATTGCAGGGATGTGGATGGTCTTAACAACCCCTATTTAAATTATTGTATATGCAGGGGAGGAAGTGTGTTAGCCGACCAAACCTTAAATGAAAATGACGGAAATATCCTTAGGTGCTTAGGTGTCCACAACCATCATTAAAAAAATTCAAAAACGGAAAGTGGGTCCTACGTCTAAATCCAACGGTGCGATCAAGAATCCAAACGTCTGAGAACCACACGATCGTCTGCCGTTACTAATTGGATTTTATTTTGTCGTTTCCAACAGTTGTACCAAATCAGACCATCAAACCCGGTTTCCTTTTCGCAATTCTCCGGATTAATTGCCACGTGTCTATCTCTTACCAAAGAGTCCCTTATCTTTTTAAAGTATACACTATAGCCCCTCTATGTTTTTATGGGAGAAAATATTCGTCATTATTCGCAACAAATATCAAAGTAATGTTTAAACATATGTATTGTTGATTTTCTTATGTAGTGTGTAGATTTTAGTGATCATATATTGTGCATCGATACTGGTTATTGCCAATTTTCTATAATTCGTTATACATTTTCTTCACTGACTTAAAGATAGAGCAGTGGATTTAAGACGATCGATGATCCACTGACTGCTAATTTGTCCTTTTTCATGATCTCAAAAGAAATTATCCCTAAGATCAATGTAAAAGAACGATGTCCAAAATGAGTCTATGTTTTATGGATTTGTTTCCAATCCAAGATTATGCTGAAGGTAGGTAAAGTTGCCATCACCTATGATCAATACGTCTTTCTTTTTTATGTTTGATGAAGAAGATACTACTATCTTATCATGCAGGAGTCACACTTTGAGGACTTTCATTCCTTAGCCAAAAGGCCATTCAAACCCACGTAAACAAATACATTTAAAAGGTGTACCGATCTCATGGTTGTCTATAAAAATGTATGAAGTATATTTTTAGCACGTACAAACAACATAACAAAGGGCTTGATCTAACTTGGTTAAAACTTACCCATACAAGTATTTCTGTAACAAATAATCCCTTGCTTAAAACACGCATTTGCGACCAAGAAGAAAAACACAGGACCAAATGGTCTTTGTCCTAGCGGTATCGTAATCTCTGATCTTTCCTAGAAGGTCAGAGGTTCAAACCTCACCAAAGATGAGGAAGGTGTGTGAGTTTATTTGTTACATTTACCGTATATAAATATTATATACTTCAAAATAGAAAAAAGAACAGGGTAGGGTCTTGGAATTCAACCATCAGAACTTTTCAGGGACTTTGATGTTTTTGTTAATAGGTTAAGGGGATAAAGTGAAACATTTTGATTAAATAAATAAATACAGGAAATGCTCGATCTCTGAAGCTGTCTTTTCTCAAATTATAAAATCCGAAAAGAAAATATTTAGGAAAACTGTAAGCAACCGTCCTACGACTACTCAGGGCGGTTTTCACTAAGCACACTCTTCAACTCTATCTCTCCCCGTCGAACATCGCCTCTTTTCTCCGGTGAATGGTAAATTAATGTGCTTGTTGACAACGAGATCGTCCTGAAGTGTCTTGATCCGTGATTATTGGTGTTGATTTGAGAAATGTTTGTTAAAAAGCTAGTCGAAAAGGCTTCGTTGAAGAAGGTTAGTGTTGATCTCTGGCCCTTTTTGTTCGTTTTAGCTTTATCTGTTGCTTACCAAAACCTAGTCATTTTTCGATTCTCTGAGATGCTGTGTTCGTGATATGCTGAAGAGCTCTTGATTATACTGCCGATTTATCTTGATCTCCGATGATATATGTGGTTTAAGATTACCTGTTTTTGGTTTTAAACAGAGATCCATAGCTCTGTTCTTCCTCTGATCTCTGATCGATTACGGTTTCCTTTTGTTTGGATTTAATCTTTAAATTATGGAAGAGAGTGAAACATTTGAGTGTTAATTTGGGGAATGTCCTCAATGGATGAGGACATGAGGTTATAACATGTAATTGACGAGTAAATAACGACACATTTTACGGGATAAATATTAAGGTGCTGCATTGACGCGAAATCCCTATTCAATAAATTTTCAAATATTTTGGGGATATATATATATATATATTTATTTATATAGTTTTGCAAATAATAATAAAAACATTTATGCCAAAATTTTATATAAGCATTTGAATTTCGGAAAACTGGATTTCTAAAGATAGAAAATTTCGTAAATATTGGAATTTTACAAAACAAGTAATGTGAAAAAGAATAACCATAGAAGGGGAAAATGTCAACGCATTTGGTAAGAATTTGTTTCAAAGAGCAAGAATATATAATTTGTTGCCAAAATGATTTTACTTACCTTCCTTTAAGGTTGTCTCCATCCCGTAATAATATAAATAGCCACCTTATGACCAAAAGAGTCAAAGCATAAGTCTTTTCCTTTTATTTTTAATCTTTTTGAAAGAAAAAAGCATTTGTTATCTCCGCTTAATCCTCACCTGATCCACAAATAGGAAAAGTGATTTTTCCTATTGGATATTTTATTTTATCTCTCGCCAATAATTTAGCTCCCCACGTGTCAAGATATTAACAGCCACATCAATACTTTTGTTATTATTATTTGGTACTGTGATTTCTTGTCTTGGATCCAATTAGTCCATCAGATCCGGTCTGCTAGACCCACACAAATTGTACATCAACCTTAACTGGAGACTGGTTTATTTAATGACAATCCAAGTTATCTGAATGATGAATCATCATCACCTCCCATGTTTTCTTCATATTATAGTATCATAATATTATAAAAGCAGAAGCATTCACATACTTTACATGGTGATAGCATGATGGCTGCTAAATGCTAATGTTGATGTTCTTTATATAATTTTCAGGTTTTGATATTTTCTGATCTATTAAGGACTATACTAAAGAAAAATCTGCAAAAAAAGAGTTAAAACTTTTTTGCAAATTAAGATACAGAGAACTCAGAAAGCCTTTTTGCTTTATATGTCTGTTTGGTTCACATGAAGCTATAATATCAGGACCCTCCCCACTCAACGACCAAAACATAATTAATTGGGTTCCTTTACGGGCCAACCACTGGTCATCCATTTTAATCCGTGACCGGGGAATAAGAAAAGGTCACCGTGATGTAACCAGAAAACTTTTACAGGGTCATCCTTTTCTCGGCTTTATTTGTTTTCCGGATAACAATAAGAAACTTTCAAATGATCAATATATGATAAGGTCATAAACTGGGTTGTAACTGAAAGGAATTCTAAGTATCAGATCTAGTGTGCACTCTTCCTAAGCGGATGCAGTTTTCTTGTTTTTGTAATTTCGAAGTAAAATGCTCATTCATTTTGGGGTGACAAGTCTTATTATAAAGTCTGGTTGTATAAGATGAAATCTATAATAATTAGTGTTTAAGCAACGAATAATCAATGTAATTTTCTTGTATCAAGTTCACATACTGTTGCATTTCCTAGTGCAGAACAGCAGAAAGTTTTGTTAGTTCTCATCTAACTTGACTGGCACCATCCAGAAAGATAAATCAAATGGTTGCCAAATGATGGTTTGTACAAATGTCTATTCGAAGTTCTAATGGATGATTAGTTCCAGCTGTTAGATCAGAGTTTGAATCCAATTGGTTTGATATTGACCGGACCTTAATAGACTCTTAAGCCTGTGGCCATGCAATCTTAGCACTTCTTCCCTGATGAGAAGAAAACAAAACTAAATAATGGCTATAACTCTAATTTTGGCTGTTAGAAAACTCCTTGGTGCTGGCTTAACTCATAATCACCACTATCAATGCTTGTACTGCAGCCTGGAGGAAATTCAGATGGTTTAAAGTCTGACGAAGTAAATCCACGTCCCATTTTCCATTATGGCCTTCCGTCTGAATGCATATTGTTGGCTCATGATCCTATTCAGAAGATTCTTGCTCTGTCGACCATGTAAGCTTCTGTTACCCTTAATTTCGAATACTGTAGCTCTTCTTGCCACTTATGGTGTGCGGGTCTTGTTCATGTTGGCATAATAGGTGGGAAGTATCTATTTGTGGTTTATTAAGTTTAATTTAAAGACAAACAAAAGTAACACAAAAATTAGTAGAAATGATTCAACACCTATAATGCATGCAAGAAAATAAATATCATATAAAGCTTGAACCAAGGCCTATGTTCTTTATGGTAAAGATCCAAGGCCTTTGTTGGAATGATGTCTTTAAGGCTTTTATTCACCCCCAGCAGATGCTTTTCGGCTTGATGTGAATAACCTCCCAAGATATAAGGGTTCTATGAATACTTAAAGGAAGTACACTAATTAATCATCAGGCGAACCAAACTAAAGCCAAACTCTCTTATGCAGATGAAAGTATTCTGTTGTGCTTGTCTCGTGTTCCACTCGTATGCCTATTTGTAAGATTGAACCCGATTGAAAATCAATACCAAAATGGGAACTCTGATGCCTTATTTATATAGGTTGTGGTGCCTTTAGGAAAAGATAAATCCAATGGATTTCCTTAAAATGATATGACTTTTGTCTTAGATTTTCTACGGAAAGACATGCTTGTTTATGATGTTTCACATATATGATAAATCCATTAAATATTGAAGGAAAAGACAACTTTCCATTAGTCTCATTAAGTATTTAATCTCAAACTTGAGGGGTTATGAATCAATTTATTTTTGTTAAATAAACTTTTACTAAAAATATAGAAATCACTAGACCAGTTTTGCTACTTTAGCACAACTATGTGATGGCAGATCTTGCATCTGATAATCGAGTGTCATTCCTTGGTATTTCATGTTCTCCAAAGAGGATAGTGTTGCTTATACATTTGGCTTCCTTGGTCTTTTATAGAAGTATACTTCAAGAAATAAACACTATCAAAGTACCAATGGACTTGTACATTGACTGTTCTTACCATTCATCCAATGTCTGATGGATTTTTTGATTACAATTTAGAGATGGTCGTATTAAGTTATTTGGACAAGATAACACTCAAGCTGTAATGGAATCTCCCGAGGCAGTACCAAGTAAATTTTTGCAGGTATGTCGTCTTCTAGATTTCCTTGTAACTTACCATGATGCTCTTTGCATCAGCTCATAAGATTCGTGATGAGGATTTATTTACTGACTTCTTGTAATCTAATTTTACTGTTGTCCTCTTTCTTCCAGTTCATTCATAACCAACAGTTTCTTATAAACATTAATGCAAAAGATCATATTGAGGTAAGCCCCTTGGGTCTAAATCAATGCAATTCAACCCCCTCTCATTTTTGACTGATAGTTTCCATTAACGGAGGCATACTTCTCGCTGATATGCTAAATCATCAAGTAATGTGAGATCATACCTGCTATTGTATATACATAGGTTTGGGACATAGACATGAAGTCGTTAGTTCATGTGCATATATATAAGGATGAAATTACATCGTTTACCGTCCTCCAACGTACCTTTTACATGTAAGTGTTTCTCAATTCATAAGGGTGTTAGCAATTGTACAACTACAAGTTTTTTTGGGTTACAGTGTTTATGTCCTCAACAGGTATGTTGGAGACTCATTTGGTAATGTTTCGGTTCTGAAGTTTGACAAGGAACCATGTAATATATTACAAATGAAATACCGAATTCCTTTTTCAGCATCTCATGGTGAGCCACCTTTTTTTTGCAAGAATGAAATCTTACTACATGCACTTCTTGTTTACATAGAACAACTGCAGTGGTCACAATACATAGGGGTGTTTAGCGATTGTACTATAAGTTTTTCGGAACAACTACAGTTCTCACAATGGCCTTGCCTTCAACTCCAAAATTCAAGTGTGACCAGGGTCTCACACACATACTATGATTGAAGTTTCTGTTTTCATCATTGTGCTTAGCTTCACTTCCTTTCGTAATTTTCCCTTTGAATTTTTTATGGCCTACTATTTCTTTTGTTTCTGTTGCCGAGCTTTATCTTGAAGTACTTGCAAATATGTTCTTTTACTTTCAGCCATCATAATGATATGATAAATTATACAGGAGCCTTTGGTCATGAACATTTATTCATTGATGGTAATAGCTTCATTTTTATGTTGTCTTCATCGGCATTCATAGTTTTCTTCATCTTGCTTCACATATTATTTAACTGCATATGCACCCATTTCCACACTTTTAATTTGTAAAAATCGATCTGTAGTTTCCCAATGTTCAGACATGATTTTAAAATTCATAATCCAGCTCCCCTGTCAATTACTGTAACCTTATTGCCCTTGTTGTGCAAAACAAATGGTGGGCATTAGTATTAATAGCTTAGTCACAAGGCCTACATGGTAGAGGGTAGTGCATCTTTTTTAAATTTTCATTGTTAGTCTGAGAGTCTCTGAATTTCAGTTCAGCTTCATTAATAATAATTTTTTCTCTTCATGATGCTTGCTTTTTGTGAGGATGCATATTTTTTTATATCTGTACTTCATCGGGTTTTGCTGTTACCTCACCACAGTAGATTATTAGGAGTAAGCATATGGATTTTGGCATGCACCACCATATATTGCAGCATAGGCCTTCAATCTGGTGTTCAGTAAGGACTGGTAAAATCAGTACTTAATAATTGAATCAATTTCTGTACATCAATGGTGTAAAAATATGTATGCAGGCTTCTTTTAACTAAACATGGTCCATTTATTAAAAACGAGTATACATAATTCTCCTAAATAATTCACAGTTGGACAAATATCAAGTTTTATACATCTTTTGTGTAGAAAAAGAAGATTAGACTGATGTTGTATTAACAGTTTTTTTCTTGGTAATTAATGATTGATGTGTTTGCAACTGTAATTTTAAGTCGATCAAGTTCTTTAAGAAACTGTGAATATCAGCATTTTTAATGTCATTTTTTCATCCAGCTTCATATGCCGTTTACTTGTAAATTAACCATGCCTTCAATGAATTATCTGCTTGCAAAAATGATGCGCATCAACTGGCAATTGACATGATGATGATTTTTTAAATCCATATTGTTATTGCCGATGTTGAGTAACTTTGATTTTCTCTTCCATATTCCATGATGTAAGTCAATAACTCAGACAAATTGAAAGAATATCAAGTATCAACTAATAGATATTGATAATAATGTGCTAAAATCACGTGGATAAAATTGGAAAATGTGTTGAAATATGTGTTTTTCTAGTGTCTAGTCAGGTCTTATTTTATGAATTTAATTCCTTCATTGAGCAGTTAACCTTTTTAGGTAATTCAAGGGAGGATCTCAGTGATGCTGCTGTTATGTATATACTGCCTCAACCAGGCGCTGAAAGTAAGAGGTGATTTCCGTTATAAGTTTTCCTTCTAAACATAACCTCAAGAAACAGATAGTGGGGCTCCCAATCTTGAATCTCTGGGGTCATACTCTAGTTTACGGAAAGCTGCCTACACTTTGCTTTGCTTACTGGTCCCACACAGGAGTATTTGCTGGGGCATTTGGTTAATTGGTTTCTGTTAACAGTTCCTTTACATTTCATCTATTATTTTTGGTTAGTAAAAACTGAATAGCATGTGAACATATGCTGTACAGTCACTTAAAAGTTGTATTGTTGCACTGCAATTTGTACACTTTCGTTCCCTTAGAATCATTCAAACCTTATATTATGTGTCATTTCTCAATGCAGGATACTTATAATTTATATAGATGGATCTGTTACATTATGGGCAATTCAAGATAGCAAAGCCATCTTTACAACTGGAGGAACTTTGATGCACTCACTAAATCATGACACTAAAAAAGTGACAGCTGCATGCTGGGTTTGTCCCTTTGGAAGCAAAGTAGTAATTGGATACAGCAATGGAGAACTTCTAATCTGGAGTATTCCACACACCATAGACTCAAAAACTGAACTTGCAACTGATAAGGAATTAGGTGGCGCCCAAAGTGCTCCTCTATTCAAACTAAATCTTGGGTATAAGCTAGACAAAGTCCCTATAGCCAGATTGAAATGGGCTTATGCTGACGGGAAAGCAAGTCGACTATATGTTCTAGGCTCTGCCGACTTTTCATCTGCAAACTTGTTACAGGTACTAATGCACGATTGCTTCTATGTTGATTGACTTTCATTCTACTTATGTCATTGGGGCAAAGAGGACAAACTGATTCATAGCCTTATGGCACAGTATATAACCATATGTTCGTGGATATTTTGGTTCAAACAATGTGGCAAATATCTGTGAAGTTGATATCATGTGACAGATCTTCCTTTGGAAAATTCCAAGTTGAGTGTGCACATAAAGGATAAAACCATAAACTAGTAGATATGTGGGGTGATAATTGCTGTTTGTTTTCTTTTTCCATTTTTGCAATATAGTGATGTGGGTTGCTGAGTCAGTTTCCAGAATACGTCAGTTTAAGAACCTTTGTTTTGGGTTAGTTGGGGTTTAAGAACTTCATTTTTGCTGATAAAATTGCTTGATCCTGTGTGACAGGTTATTATAATAAACGAACAGATTGAATCTCGCACTAATAAACTGGGAATTGCTTCCCCTGAGCCATGTGTTGACATGGAGATTGTTTCGTCCTATAGTGAACAGAGCAAACATAAAGAAGATTGCTTTCTTGTGCTTGGCAAGTCAGGCCATGTTTATGTGTATGATGATTTTTCAATTGAAAAATACCTAATTCAGGCCCAATCTAGGTCGCCACCATCACTTCCAAAAGAGGTAAAGGTGAGACTACCATATGCTGACCCAAGCATCACTGTAGCGAAGTTCATCACTGACAATCCATGCTTGTTGTCTTCTGCTGATGAGGTAATATGAAGTTTTCATATTCATCAACTGCCTTTATTTATCTGCAAAACCATTTTCTTATAAAAGAAGCAAACAGAAAATCATATATGTATCGTCATTCTCAGCAGTTATCAGATATTTATATACTGTTTGGTTTTCACAGGAGTACATATTGCTGTCAAAAAAGATCCCTTCGCTTTTTTCATTTGAGGCTAAGCAAAAAGATGGATCTCCATCAACCACTTTTAGCAGTTTTTCAAATTTTAAAAACATATATATAACAGGACACAGCAATGGAGCCATAAACTTTTGGGATGCATCATCTCCACTTCTTCTTCCAATTGTATCATTTAATCAACAGGTAACTTTTGAAACTATATGTATTGCATGGTTGTGTCTTTTTTCTTGAAAGAAGTGAAGATTTCAATTAATCACCATTCCTCTTTGTATCGAACTTATCCGCAGAGACCCTTTCCTTGTTATTTCATATATTTAACTTGTATTTTCCTTGAAGAAAGCAAGTGAACCATCATTCATGAAATGATTTGTACTAAAATACAACAGATGGTAGATAAAAGAAACTAACTTTTTGTATTGCCGCATTCTAACAGCATCCTGCAGCATTTGGATTGTACATGAAAATCATCTTTATCCTCTTTGGTTTTGTTTTCTATTGTTTTTATCCTACTCACTTCCAACTATGCAGAGTGAGGATGATCAGTCTGTAAGTACTGTACCCCTGACTGCGTTATGTTATGATATGGAAGCACGACTTCTCATATCTGGAGATCAAAATGGAACAGTAAGTGTATCTCTTGTCAGATGGTAGGAGTATGCTACATTTCTGTTTGAATTGCATGGTTTAAAGTATGATGTGTTATGCTGCAGGTTAGAATTTTCAAATTTAAGCCTGAGCCATATTCCACAGAGAGCGGTTTTTTGTCCTTACAAGGTACTGACTTTATATTGGCAGCTCGAATATGGATAGCTGGATACAAATGTTCCTACTTGTGCTTCATCCAAGCATATTCCACACAAATACCAATTATAGATGACTACATAATGTATGCATGTAGTGCCTACATCTCGTTTTAACTATAGTTAGTTATAGGAATAGTAAGAGGTTACATTTCTTTCTTGTCTTCAGCAAATCCGCATCCACCATCCTTAGCTATTAAATGAAATTCGGAACTATCTGAATGCTTTATGGCATTCTGCACTGATGATGTTATGTCTTTCTAAAATGTGACTACTGATACCAGGAAGTTCAAAGAAAGGAAGCAACATCATTCAAAATGTTAAACTTGTGAAGGTTAATGGAGCAGTGCTTTCAATAAGTACAAGCCATGACTCTAAGCATATTGCTGTTGGGTCGGATCAAGGATATGTAAGATATCGTTTTTCCTTTTGTTCTTTTCTTCCATTCCAACTTTTACTCCTTCCAAAGTTATAGTTTATCGGACTACTTTCACTCATGAGCTTACTTTAATGGGATGCATACCATCCCTTAAATTTAATAGGCTTTACATTCTCAATCTTTAGTTACATAAAGAAAGTAGTCATTCTGTTTCATTTGTCAGTCTTCTAGGGGTTAGAGATTGGGTTAGAAAGTGTTATAACAATCTCGTAAATCCAACAAAAATTAATAGACAACTGAACATAGAATTACATGGAAACCCTTGTGGTGTAAAACCATTGGGAGAGTAATGAGAAATATGGACATCAGAAAACTTGCAGGAAAGAAAACCCTAACCCCTAACAAATTGATCCACTCTTCCAATCAGCCAAAAGAATGAACAGCTCACCCAATTTCCAGAAGTGAGTTGATATCGAATGTTACAATACATGAGCCAAAAGGGGGACTGGGCTAAACCACAGTGGGTAACTGAACTTAGGATTAGTGTCTGGTTCCCAACTTGGGTCCCTTCGTTAATCAACACTAAATCTCCTGATTAGATTGAACATTTTAGCTCAGATTGGGTCAGATCATAAAGTGGTTTGTGAGAAGAATTAGAGACAAGAGTGTTGTATCTGAACAATGCTTAATGAACATGCAAGCCTGAGAGTTGTGGCAATGCTTGATACTCATCAACTTGCTCAGGAATGTGCTAGTGAATATCCCAAAGTGAAATGCATGTTCACCTAATATGGTATTTAATTAGAGGGTCCATCATCTGATATCCAACTCAACCAACACTTTTAACGTCCGACAACTTGGCCAAGCCTTTATAATGTTGACTGATCACTATCATACAATTATAGTTATTTTCTTTGTTAGTAGGGCACTACTCAGGGTGTATTTGCAGTTTTCTACTAAAGCCATGAGGAATTCTGAGAGCCATTATATTGTAAAACTACTGATGCAGGTTTCAGTAATTGATATGGGAGGACCAACTTTACTATATGAGAGACATATAGCAAGTGAGCTGTCTACGGCTGTCATCTCTCTGCAATTTGGGATGTGTAGCTTGCATGGCTTTGAGAAGAGTGTCCTAGTGGCGGCAACAAAGGATTCGTCGGCTTGGGCACTTGAGAGTGAAACAGGAAATATACTCAACACTGGATCAGTCCATCCCAAAAAACCTTCTAAAGCTTTGTTCATCCAAATGTTGGGTAGTAAATCACACTTTCTATTTTGAGGTTTATATTATTGAATTCCTTTTATTGGTACCATTGGACAAAAGGCCTTCTTCTGTAAAGCTTTATCCTCCTAAAGGTTACAAATGTGGCATACGGAAATATAACCGATATATACTATGCAGATGAGCAGGGTGCATCTGGCAGGGGATCTAATGCATCTAGACGTGTAGACTTGCACAAAGGCAATTCCTTTGATGATGGCATAGTAAAAGACTTATTGCTACTATGCTCTGAGAAAGCTGCTTACGTCTATTCACTTCCACATGTGGTTCAGGTTAGAAGTAATTTACTTTATTGACATCAGTAATACTCATTTGTAAATATATGTCGTACCACCGGTTTACTTTCTTTCAGGGTGTGAAGAAGGTTTGCTACAAAAAGAAATTCACTTCCTCAATTTGTTGCTGGGCTTCAACATTTTCTGATACGGGCCTTGTACTTGTTTTTACTAATGGAAAAATTGAAATCAGGTGATCTTTTCTTCACGTTCAGATTATGATTTATTCCAAAATAAAAAGCAAGTGTTGGTGAATAGATCTTAATTCGTCTAAAGACGATGATTTTGCCTAAAGGGAAGAGACTTATTTTCATTTATTTTTAGGCTGGGGATAGGGAGAAATGGTGCAAGTTATTTTGAGGATTGTTCAACATTTAGTATGCAACAAAATCATCTCCCAAGAAATTTAGTCACCAAAGAAAATGTGAAATTCAGATCTAGCTCCATTTCTCCAAATGCCACAGAATGGTTAAACTAAAACATTTGTGCTAGAACTTAATTGCCTATATAACTGCAATTTCAGATCCCTGCCAGAATTATCCCTTTTGAAGGCAACATCAATAAGAGGTCTTGCATTTTCAACTTCAAAACCAAATTCCCTACCTGATAATTCAATTTGTGCTTCACAAAATGGTGATCTCATCATGGTAATACCCTTTTGATTTTAGAAATACCAGCCATCTACCTGTATAAAATAGCATGAAAATCGTGTCAGATTTAATGCATATCAGAATTTCTCAAATACAGGTGAATGGTGATCGGGAAGTTGTTATGGTTTCAGTTTTACATCAAAGGGAAATCTTCAGGTAATAAATAAAATCACATGGAGATGAATCGGTTCCTTATATCTCGTTGTCTACAATCTCGAATACAACTATGGAAGAGTAATAAACCATACTCATTTCTCATCCTTTCATGGCAATGCTTTCATTTCTCTTAGGCATCTAGACTCAGCAACCCAAGTTTATAACAGGGATCTAATAGTTCCTCAAGGGATTCAATCAGAGCATGTCATCCACAAAGAGAAAAAAAAGGTTATCAGTGGAAATATAAACTCTTAAAGCTCCAAATTTGTCTGATTAGTATGATACTGATATTTCTACCTATCATATGCAACAGGGAATCTTTAGTTCTATGATTAAAGGAAGCAAACCAAAGAATGAGCCAGAAACAGAACCAGAGTCTGCTAGAGAAAGCTTTGAAGAACTGTCAACATTATTTTCCGTTACTAACTTCCCAATGGAGAGTGAAACCCGAGAAAATCTCCCAACAGATGAAGATGATGTTGAACTGGATATAGGTTTGACCTTTGTACATTCCTCGACTTTTTCATTTGGCACATTATCATCCCACATTCGTTAGACCTGATGGTTTTTTGTTCCAATGTCATTCGTAATAAGAATGATGGTTTAGCTATTAAACAACATTCTACATCTTTACATATTTGCTTCTAGACGATATTGACATTGACGATCCAGAAGTGAAACCAAAAGGAAATACCATGATGGCAGCGCTTAACAAACAAAAGCTTACAAGCAAATTTCAAGCATTCAAAGGTCCGGTCAACTTATCTTAAACGCCATCCACAATCATCATCTTTTATCCGTTTTTGTCAGTTAGGATCTTGATGTAAATGATTGATCTAGGTAAATTGAAAGAGATGAACGTCAAAAAGGAGAAAGTGCAAACAAAGGAAGAGCCACGAGATGAGAAGACTGGTTCTGTAGACCAAATCAAGAAAAAATATGGATTTAGCTTGACTGGCGTAAGTATCCATTCTCCTTAGATTCTATGGTCTTTTCTTTGCTCTCACCGTACTTTTCCATATGTGCACATTACATTACACTATCTGCATACATCCAACCATCCCCACACCATAGCTCTGTATGGGATATACTGGTTCGTTTGGTTTGTCTACAAACCCGCCTTCATCTGTAACTAACCTCTCTCCCCAATACCTCATGAAACCTTGGACAAAGAAAGAAAACATCCTGCTGATTATCGTATTTCAAATTCAAGACTTTTGGACGATGCTTTATTATCTGGTTGGGTCAATCCAACTTGTAGGCTTTGACTTGCTGAATGTTGGAAAGTCGTAAAGTGATGTATAAAGTTAAGAACTACGTTAGTTGCATATAAAAATTGTATACATATTGATTCTTTTGTGTTGACATTGCAGGACACAAGTGCAGCTAAAATGGCACAAAACAAGCTGAGTGAGAACATAAGAAAACTAAAGGTAGTTTATAAGAAAAAATGTATATATTAGTGTCAACTTTTGATTTTAAGAAAATCAAATTCACATTGATGCTAATAATTTAAAGCAAGAAATATTTTGTTACTTCATTCGGCCAACGATTCTCAAGAACCAACTTATCTGACTCTTAAAAGTCAAAGCAGATGCTGATCCTGATCGAAATATTGTGATTTGGGCAGGGAATCAACTTGAAGACAGCAGAAATGCAAGACAACGCACAGACATTCTCTTCGATGGCAAAAGAGGTGCTGCGAACTGCTGAAAATGATCGGCGAACCTCATGATCGTCGAACCTCATGATCGTCATATATGTAGAGTCAGAAATAAAAGATTTTTGGTTGAATTATATATTGGAGGTGAAGGTGTATAGAGATCACATTGTTTTCCTTTTTGTTGGTACCATTTGACATGTAATTTTTGGAGAAAACGATAACTACATTATGTATTCCGGTTAAAAGCCTCATTGTGTGTATATGATCGCATTGTTAATTGGTGACTCAATATCTTATGGGTTTTTCGGATAGTCTACTAAATTTGGGCGTGGATACGAGCACACAGTTTATTCTCTTCGTGGCCTCGTAAAACATGCTTTTTAGAGGCAACAGGTTTTTGGGGAGAACACTGTTCACGGCTTTTCAAAAAGTTACTTTTGAGCAGATTTTCTTTTCTCTATTTTAAGGGATTCTGTCCCTTTTTGAAATCACATTTCTTGGACCACGAAAATCTGGTCATCTTTACTTGGAAGACTCATCTTTGCCAACTACAACTTTCATCGTTTTTAATTCTTCAAGCTTACATTCCATTTATCTCTTTTGAGTGTTTTCTCAAAACAGATCTGATAGGATAAATTCTCAAAAACATATCACCCACTTTATCATTTCTATCTCCAAATACACACATTCACCATAGTTGTGATTCTACTCCTTCTAGAACATTGTAATCTTCATTTTACACTAGTAGATTTCTCTCGGTGGTCTCCTTGACCCGTGGTTTTCTCCCGATTTGGTTTTCACGTAAATCCGTCTGTTGTCTTTTAACTCTTATCTCTTTACTTTGTGTGGGATGCATATTTAGTAGGTGAATCATCATATTTGTATGTTTTGGGAACTTTGTCGTATACTAAGAACACGCTTGAGTGCTCAAACTAGAGATTCATCGGATCACTAACTTATCCTTGTTTACTTTGGTTAAACTCTTTAATTTGAGATTAAGTCGGCATTATCTCCTTCCCATTTTACTTAAAATAAACTTAACATTTATCAACTTTTTTAATGAAATATGTATTTAAAATAAACTTATTTTAACAATTATGTTACATAAATTATTTTAATAAATATTTTGTTTGATCCAATCAAATATTATATATTTATGTTTGCTTATCCGTTTAGGCGTATACAGGCAAATGCAAATGTTTTTGGGAATCTCGATTCAAATCTAATGGATTTAGATGGATATAATCCGATCATCCATTGAATATTGGATTTTGTCATCTGAACCGATACAATAATTCATTGGACATCCGATGGATGATGTAATCGAATGGTTCTATCTATTAGATATTACTATATCAGATTGGATCCATCCAATATTTTGATTCAATTTTCAACCAATTAATCCACCATTTCAACCAAACTTTCATATATTTTCCTAATTTCTTAAAGAACATTACGTAAGAAGATAAATTAAAAACAATATCGTAAAATATTATTTAGTATATATGTTTATTAATTGGATGATAGTTTTGATGATAATTGGATGATAGTTAGATTTGATCGGTTCGGTTTTATTGGATGATAGTTAGATTTGATCGGTTCGGTTTTATTGGATTCTAGACTGTCATTTAAGAACCGATCAATCCAATTTGAATGTTGAAATTTTAGATCCAATCCAATCGTAATTGGATATTCAATCATGATCGATCGGTTGTAAATTGGATCGGATGACTTTCTGAACCCAACTTGAAATGTTTCGATACTTGAGAGCATGGTCATCACATGGCATTTTAGTAATGCTTGATTGTAAAATACATATGGCACCTCAGAATTACCCAAGCCTCGTCATCATTTAGGGTATGTTTGGTGTCCAGACATGATAGGACAGCATACGACAAGACATGACAGAACAACTATTCAACATTTGATAAGACAAAACTGAATAATTAAAGGACCAGTTTACCTTTAATGACATTTTTTGATTAATTTATGTAATTTATTAAATTATAATAAAATAATTATTTTTTATAACAAAATATATTATTAGAAAGTTTTTTTCAAAAAAATTAAAATGACACCAAAATAAAAAGTTTATGTAATTTCTAATATTTATTTTGTCCCTTTTATAGCATTACTTATTATTATATAATAAATTACATAAATTAATAAAAATATAAAACCTGTATAAAAACAATATTTTAAGAACAATAAAATGAAATTTAAAAAAAACATAAAATACAATAAATAAAATTTAAAGAATGAATCAAATGTAAAGTTGAGACTTATTTGATGTTTTAAAAGAAAATTAAGTTTTTTTTTTGAGGTCATATTGGTAAAATATAAGTTTGTTCCATGTGATAGGGATGGAACAGGCCTGTTCCACTCTATTTTTGACTGTTCCAAATCTTGCTAAACGTGGAACAAAGATCTCTTATTCTATTTTATCCTGACCTACCAAAAACAGCCTTACAGATCTTAAATTGTTTGCAAGGTTTGCTTTTGGACAAAAAAACAAATGTTTTGAAAGTTCGTTATTCAATAAAAATTAACCAAAAGTTGGTTTCGTTTGGATACAATTTGACCTAACAATAGACTGCTGCAAATTTCATTTTGCAGATCTGGGAGGTGGTTTCTATGATAAACAAACTGAATACACTTTTTATAAGTTCACCGGGATTCATAGGAGCATAGTTGTCTGGGGAAAAAAACGGTTAAACCAACTTGTCTGTCAACTCGGTATATATTCGATCTTTCATGGCATCTCTGTTGCTCGTCGTTAGAGTAAACACAGCCGCCCCTGGATGATTTTTCAACCTCGCCACTGCACAAAAACACTGCCCCTGGATGATTTCTTCCTCATTTGAAACATTTCTTTTAAATTATGAGTCAAGTCACAGGAGTGTGTAAGTTGGTGCTATGAATTCAGACTATTTTCTTGTACCAAAGAAAATAAAAGGAAAAACAAAAAACAACTGCCAATATACCTGCAGGAATATCTCGACCAGCTTTTGGAATCGGGATGGTAGCTAGAAAGGGTTTGTTAGACTCCAAAACTCGCAAGACTGCGGGGAAGAACAAAGAACTAAACAGCTCCATCTTACCAACTTCATCAATCACGAAGAGATCTGTGTCTTCTTTGATCTGGAAATGAAACGACGATCAACTTCCTACTGCATTAGATATACCGAGAAATGAATATATTTTCATGTCAAAGTGTCAAACATATTAAAAAGCAGTTGCTAATGAGTTTGTGGTATTTATAAGTTCTCACTTAGACATTTGGCAAATCAGTTTTTGAGGTGGAATTCATCCATTTGACCATA